GTAAAGGTTTTAATTTCTCCATCAAATCTGAATGAGATCCTTGCTAGGTAGAGTAATCTTTGTTGTAGGTTTTTCTCCTTCATCACCTTAAATATGTCCTGCCACTCCCTTCTGGCTTGCAGAGTTTCTGCTGAAAGATCAGTTGTTAACCTTATGGGGATTCCTTTGTGTGTTATTTGTTGTTTTTCCCTTGCTGTTTTTTTTGTTTTTTTTTTTTTTGCGTACACGGGCCTCTCACTGTTGTGGCCTCTCCCGTTGCGGAGCACAGGCTCCAGACGCGCAGGCCCAGCAGCCATGGCTCACGGGCCCAGCTGCTCCGCAGCATGTGGGATCTTCCCAGACTGGAGCACGAACCCACATTCCCTGCATCGGCAGGCGGACTCTCAACAACTGTGCCACCAGGGAAGCCCCCTTGCTGTTTTTAATATGTTTTCTTTGTATTTAATTTTTGACCGTTTGATTAATATGTGTCTTGGCGTGTTTCTCCTTGGATTTATCCTGTATGGGACTCTCTGTGCTTCCTGGACTTGATTAACTATTTCCTCTCCCATATTAGGGAAGTTTTCAACTATAATCTCTTCAAATATTTTCTCAGTCCCTTTCTTTTTCTCTTCTTCTTCTGGGACCCCTATAATTTGAATGGTGGTGCATTTAATGTTGTCCCATAGGTCTCTGAGACTGTCCTCAGCTCTTTTCATTCTTTTTTCTTTATTCTGCTCTGCAGTAGTTATTTCCACTATTTTATCTTCCAGGTTACTTATCCATTCTTTTGCCTCAGTTATTCTGCTATTGATCCCTTCTAGAGTATTTTTAATTTCATTTATTGTGTTGTTCATCATTGCTTGTTTCCTCTTTAGTTCTTCTAGGTCCTTGTTAAATGTTTCTTGCATTTTCTCTATTCTATTTCCAAGATTTGGGATCATCTTTACTATCATTATTCTGAATTCTTTTTCAGGTAGACTGCCTATTTCCTCTTCATTTGTTAGGTCTGGTGGGTTTTTATCTTGCTCCTTCATCTGCTGTGTGTTTTTCTGTCTTCTCATTTTGCTTATCTTACTGTGTTTGGTGTCTCCTTTTTGCAGGCTGTACGTTCATAGTTCCTATTGTTTTTGGTGTCTGCCCCCAGTGGCTAAAGTTGGTTCAGTGGATTGTGTAGGCTTCCTGGTGGAGGGGACTAGTGCCTGTGTTCTGGTGGATGAGGCTGGATCTTGTCTTTCTGGTGGGCAGGTCCACGTCTGGTGGTGTGTTTTGGGGTGTCTGTGACCTTATTATGATTTTAGGCAGCCTCTCTGCTAATGGATGGGGCTGTGTTCCTGTCTTGCTAGTTGTTTGGCATAGGGTGTCCAGCACTGTAGCTTGTTGGTCGTTGAGTGAAGCTGGGTGTTGCTGTTGAGATGGAGATCTCTGGGAGATTTTCACCGTTTGATATTACGTGGAGCTGGGAGGTCTCTTGTGGACCAGTGTCCTGAAGTTGGCTCTCCCACCTCAGCGGCATAGCACTGACTCCTGGCTGCAGCACCAAGAGCCTTTCATCCACAGGGCTCAGAATAAAAGGGAGAAAAAGTAGAAAGAGAGAAAGAAAGAGGATAAAATAAAATAAGATAAAGTAAGATAAAATAAAGTTATTGAAATAAAAAATAATTATTACGAAAAAGAAATTTTTAAGTAAAAAAAAAAGGACGGACAGAACCCTAGGACAAATGGTGAAAGCAAAGCTATACAGACAAAATCTCACACAGAAGCATACACATACACACTCACAAAAAGAGGAAAAGGGGAAAAAATAATAAATCTTGCTCTCAAAGTCCACCTCCTCAATTTGGGATGATTCGTTGTCTATTCAGGTATTCCACAGATGCAGGGTACATCAGGTTGATTCTGGAGATTTAATCCGCTGCTTCTGAGGCTGCTGGGAGAGATTTCCCTTTCTCTTCTTTGTTCACACAGCTCCCAGGGTTCAGCTTTGGATTTGGCCCCGCCTCTGCGTGTAGGTCGCCGGAGGGCGTCTGCGCTCAGACAAGACGGGGTTAAAGGAGCAGCTGATTCGGGGGCTCTGGCTCACTCAGGCCGGGGGGAGGAAGGGGTACGGATGTGGGGCGAGCCTGCAGCGGCAGAGGCCGGCGGGACCTTGCACCAGCCTGAGGCATGCCGTGCGTTCTCCCGGGGAAGTTGTCCCTGGATCCCGGGACCCTGGCAGTGGCGGGCTGCACAGGCTCCTGGGATGCGAGGTGTGGATAGTGACCTGTGCTTGCACACAGGCTTTTTGGTGGCGGCGACAGCAGCCTTAGTGTCTCCCGCCCATCTCTGGGGGTCCGCGCTGTTAGCCGCGGCTCGTGCCCGTCTCTGGAGTTCCTCTAAGCAGCGCTCTGAATTCCCTCTCCTCGCGCACCAGGAAACAAAGAGGGAAGAAAAAGTCTCTTGCCTCTTCGGCAACACCAGACATTTCCCCGGACTCCCTCCCAGTAGCCGTGGTGCACTAACCCCCTGCAGGCTGTGTTCAGGCCGCCAACCCCAGTCCTCTCCCTGCGCTCCGACCGAAGGCCCAGGTCCGAGCCTCAGCTCCCAGCCCCGCCCGCCCCGGCGGGAGAGCAGACAAGCCTCTCGGGCTGGTGAGTGCCGGTCGGCACCGATCCTCTGTGCGGGAAGCTCTCCGCTTTGCCCTCTGCACCCCTGTTGCTGCGCTCTCCTCCACGGCTCCGAAGCTCCCCGCTCTGCCTCCCGCAGTCTCCGCCCGCAAAGGGGCTCCTAGTGTGTGGAAACCTTTCGTCCTTCACGGCTCCCTCCCACTGGTGCAGGTCCCATCCCTATTCTTTTGTCTCTGTTTATTCTTTTTTCTTCTGCCCTACGCAGGTACGTGGGGGAGTTTCCTGCCTTTTGGGAGGTCTGAGGTCTTCTGCCAGCATTCAGTGGGTGTTCTGTAGGAGTTGTTCCTTGTGTAGATGTATTTCTGATGTATCTGTGGGGAGGAAGGTGGTCTACGCGTCTTACTCTTCCGCCATCTTCCCCCTCTCTCCAACTCTGGGCTTTTTGTATACGTTTATTACATTTATGTGTGTTCCATTGATTCCTAGAATGAGTGTTTTCATGATGAAAGGGTACTGAATATTGCCAATTTATTTCTCTGCATCATTTGATAAGATTATATGGTATAAACTTCATTCTGTGTATGTGGTCTTTTTAACGTTTCTATTTGTTGAAACACCCTTGAATTCTACAAATAATTCTGAATTTTTCATGGCATATATATATGGCTGTGCCCGGTCTTAGTTGTGGCACACCAGATCTTCGATCTTCATGGCCGCATGTGGGATCTTTTAGTTGCGGGGTGCGGGATCTTTTAGTTGTGACATGCGGGATTTTTAGTTGTGGCATGCTAACTCTTAGTTGTGGCGTGCGGGATCTAGTTCCCTGACCTGGGATTGAACCCGGACCCCCTGCACTGGGAGGGCAGAGTCTTAGCCACTGGACCACCAGGGAAGTCCCCATGGCATATAATTATATTAATATCCTTTATAATGTAGCTTGATAGTATTTTATTGAAGGCTCTGTAGCTGTATTCATCACAGATATTGGTTTGTAGGGTTTTTTTTTTGTTTTTTTTTTTTTTGTTTTTTTTTTTGTAGGTTTTTTTTAAAAAAATAATTTGGACTGTCTTTGTTTGGCTTTGATATGTGGTAACCCTGGACTCACAGAAACTGTTTTGATAATTTCTCTTTAAACTTTGGAAATGTTTGTGGAGAATTGGTGTTACTTTTTCTTGAAATGTTGCTGGAATCATCCAGGTAATTTATCTGCTTCAGGGATTCTTAAAATTACTTTTTTCGCCTATTTACTAGTTGTACTTTTGTTGTGGGTTTTTAAAATCCCTTCGTGATAAAGTCTGAGTAGGTTGTATCTTTCTAGAAATTCAATCTCTTTTTTTCAAAATGTCCAATTTGTTGGTGTAATATTGTTCATAGCAGTGTCTTGTAATTACTTTCAGTTTTATGGTATTATTTATAATGTCTCTTTTTACTTCTGATTTTACTTACGTCTTCTCTCTTATATTCTTCATCTAGGTAAGGGTTTGTCAAGTTTATTTAAAATTGTAAAGTATATTCACTCAAAGTAGTAAGTGGAATAATTTGCTATTTGATATCTTTCAGCCATACTTCTCATTACACTCAGGGTTTGTTGCCAAAGAAGCCATGCATAGAAGATTTATTCCAAAAAAGTGCTGCTGGGAAAATAAGACAGCTGTCACCTTGGAAATTTATATTTAATGAAAGACTGGGAATGTAAGGGAGCATGTGAAGTGTTGAAAGGATATTATTATGGACATAAACAAGTTTTGACATTTACCCATGTTGAAAACATTACTCTGAAAAGAAATCAAGGATGTAAGTCCAATTGGGGAAAAAATCTATTTTACAATAATATTTGCAGAAAAATACATTTTTGAAAGCAAAGACCCACATTATTTTTTTTAAATCCATATTCTCTGAAAGGAAATTTGAAAAATATGGAAAGTCATCGACCCTATGCTGCAAATAATCACTCAGATCATTATGAATATAGGCTTGGATTAAACATTTATTCAAACATGTGTGAAAACCAGAGGTTTAAAAATGTTGAATGAATATCCCAATATGATCAATTTGAGAGGTCCCTTACCAAGGGTTTATTATTCTTTAACCAACAAACATTTTCTCCCCATTCTGAACTCTGTAATGTTGGTAATAAAGGGAGAGTCTTTATCCAACCATCATCCTTCAGTAGGTATCATAGTAGAGATAATGTGGAACAACATTACATGTGTAATCAAATGAGTGATACCTTAAGCAAAAGCCCTATGTTCAATAATTATGAGAGTGTTTATAATGGAACTGGAGGATATCCATGCATTGAAGCTGGGAATACCATTGACCAAGACTCAAATCTTATGAAACATCAGAGAACTCAATTTTCAGAGAACCATTAGATAAAGAATGAATGTAGTAATGTCCTTTGTCAAAGCTCAGGTCTTATTACCCATGAGACCATCCATATTGGAGAGAAGAATTACACATTTAGCGAATGTGGTAGAGTTCTTAACCAGTCTTCGAAACTTACTCAACATCAGGGTAGTCACACTAGGAAAGAACATTACAAGTGTAATAAATGTGGGAAAGTCTATAATCAGTTATTAAATCTAAATAGACATAGGAAAATCCATACTGGAGGGAAACATTACAAATCTAAAGAATGTGGCAAAGCCTTTACCCAATGCTCAGTTCTTAATCAACATCAGAGTATTCATACTGGGGAGAAACCATACACATGTAAAGTATGTTGTAAAACCTTTACCCATTGCTCAAATCTTACTCAACACCAGGTAATTCATAAGCGGAGAAATATGGCAAAGTTTTTTGCCAAATATGGCAAAACTTTTAACCAGAGCTGTCACCTCCCTCAACATCAGAGAGTGCATGCAGGAGAGAGACCCTACAAGTGTAATAAGTGATGAAAGACATTAGTCCTAAATATACACATTTGAAAACACCGAAAAGTTCAAACTGGAAAGAAAGTTTAATGACATGAAAGACGTAAGAAAGATTTTAATAAAAAATCAAATGCAAATAAATACCACATAAGTCATAGTAGATAGCATTCAGTCAATAATTGTTTTCTGCTATTAGTCTAAATCAGAACATTACAGAAAATAATCCAAAATTAAAACACTTTGAAAAATTATTTGTTAGTATGGATCATCAAGGGAATGGATGATTGCACAGGTATAATTATTAACATTGTGTCCTCATTTATAGTGACATTATTTGAGATTACTTGAAAACAAAAATTAACAGAACTCTCAAATTATGACATGCGATGCTTTTATTTCTAGTATGTATGTGAACTCATGGTTTTGACTGTTGCTGCATTAAAAATAGAGAAGCCCTTCTATATTAGGTGTGAATCACTTATATCTACGTTTCCATGGCAGACTAAGAATCCTGAAATGTAAAATGTACAATGAAAATCTAAATGGAGATACTGCTTATAATTGATTTAAAACCATCGTAGATGTGACATTAGATAAGTATTTAGGGAATCATCTTCATATTAAAGTATATGGAGGATCATCCTAAATTTTAAAGAGTTGTGCCACTTGCTTTTTATGGATAAAAAACTGCAGTTTTTTAAAGTCTTAGTGTATTGTCATAATAGTAATAGATAGAAGTCATGAACATCAGTTGACGTGGTTGAAATAAAGACATCGTCACAGATATACAAGAAAAGTATAGGTAACCCTTTAGTAAAAGGTCATAAAATTAATGTCCTTTCATGTTCACTAAATGATTAGTCTCAGTTTTGTAAACCACAGAAATCACAATTCTAAGATCATTATATCAGAAGAACAAGAATGCTTTTGAATTCTTGTAATCTGTATTTTGTTCCAGGATCATACAGTTGATTTTGAAAGGCTTTATTTAGACGATGTGTGAACTTAATATATGTTAATAAAACTGAATGGTTTTTAATGTGTGAAACTTCTTAAATAATGCAGTGTGACCCCACAACCAACATTAACCTCTCCCACCTTATTTAAAGTTGTAGGTAAAAGACAGTAACAAGCTATCTGGTAACACAGTGGGATGACATCTCTAGTAATCCCTTTTCCTCTTGGATTTATATCTCATATAATTTGAGATTACGTTTTCCACAATTTGATTCTTGTATTGCTCCCTCCCTTTTGTAACTGCAGGGACATTATGATGGCTATAATGAGGATTATACAGAAGTATCATTGGTAATTTACCAAAATTAAACCATGATATTGCTGCTAAAGAATAAGTTTTTAAAAATATTTTTAACATCTTTATTGGAGTATAATTGCATTACTATTGTGTTAGTTTCTGCTGTATAACAAAGTGAATCAGCTATAGATATACATATATCTCAATATCTCCTCCCTCTTGCATCTCCCTCCCACCCTCCCTATCCCACCCCTCTAGGTGGTCACAAAGCACAGAGCTGATCTCCCTGTGCTATGTGACTGCTTCCCTCTAGCTATCTATTTTACATTTGGTAGTGTATATATGTCCGTGCCACTCTCTCACTTCATCCCAGCTTCCCCTTCCCCTTCCCCATCTCCTCACGTCCATTCTCTACATGTGCGTCTTTATTCCCATCCTGCTACTAGGCTCTTCAGAACGACTTTTTTTTTTTTAGGTTCCATATATATGTGTTAACATATGGTATTTGTTTTTTTCTCTTTCTGACTTACTTCACTCTGTATGACAGTCTCTAGGTCCATCCACCTCACTACAAATAACTCAATTTCATTTCTTTTTATGGCTGAGTAAAATTCCATTGTATATATGTGCCACATCTTTATCCATTTATCTGTCGATGGACACTTAGGTTGATTCCATGTCCTGGCTATTGTAAATAGAGCTGCAGTAAACATTGTGGTACATGACTGTTTTTGAATTATGGTTTTCTCAGGGTATATGCCCAGTAGTGGGATTGCTGGGTCATATGGTAGTTCTCTTTTTAGTTTTTTGAGGAACCTCCATACTGTTCTCCATAGTGGCTGTGTGAATTTACATTCCCACCAGCAGTGCAAGAGGGTTCCCTTTTCTCCACACCCTCTGCAGCATTTGTTGCTTGTAGATTTTTTGATGATGGCCATTCTGACTGGTGTGAGGTGATACCTCATTGTAGTTTTGATTTGCATTTCTCTAATGATTAGTGATGTTGAGCATCCTCTCATGTATTTGTTAGCAATCTGTATATCTTCTTTGGAGAAATGTCTAGGTCTTCTACCCATTTTTGGATTGTGTTGTTTGTTTTTATGATACTGAGCTGCATGAGCTGCTTGTATATTTTGGAGATTAATCCTTTGTCAGTTGCTTCATTTGCAAATATTTTCTCCCATTCTGAGGGTTGTCTTTTGGTCTTGTTTATGGTTTCCTTTGCTGTGCAAAAGCTTTTAAGTTTCATTAGGTCCCATTTGTTTATTTTTGTTTTTATTTCCATTTCTCTAGGATGTGGGTCAAAAAGGATCTTGCTGTGATTTATGTCATGGAGTGTTCTGCCTATGTTTTCCTCTAAGAGTTTTATAGTATCTTGCCTTACATTTAGGTCTCTAATCCATTTTGAGTTTATTTTTGTGTATGGTGTTAGAGAGTGTTCTAATTTCATTCTTTTACATGTAGCTGTCCAGTTTTCCCAGCACCACTTGTTGAAGAGGCTATCTTTTCTCCATTGTACATTCTTGCCTCCTTTATCATAGATAAGGTGACCATATGTGCATGGGTTTATCTCTGGGCTTTCTATCCTGTTCCACTGATCTATATTTCTGTTTATGTGCCAGTGCCATATTGTTTTTCTGTTGTTTTTTTTCTGTAAAGTTAACTAATCTTGTGGTATTTTTTTATATGTATATATATTTTTAAATATCTTTATTGGAGTATAATTGCTTTACAATGTTGTGTTAGTTTCTACTGTATAACTCCTTTTATTTTTTGGGGGGTCTTTCTTTTTTTGTAACATCTTTATTGGACTGTAATTGCTTTACAATGGTGTGTTATTTTCTGCTTTATAACACAGTGAATCAGTTATACATGTACATATGTCTCCATATCTCTTCCCTCTTGCAGTTCACCTGTACCATTTTTCTAGATTCCACATATATGCATTAATGTACGATATTTGTTTTTCTCTTTCTGACTTACTTCACTCTGTATGACAGTCTCTAGATCCATCCACATCTCAACAAATGACTCAACTTCATTCCTTTTTATGGCTGAGTAATATTCCATTGTATATAAGTACCACATCTCCTTTATCCATTCATCTGTTGTTGGGCATTTCAGTTGCTTCCATGACCTGGCTATTGTAAATAGTGCTGCAATGAACATTGGGGTGCATGTGTCTTTTTTTTTTTTTTTTTTCTGTACGCGGGCCTCTCACTGTTGTGGCCTCTCCCGTTGTGGAGCACAGGCTCCGGACGCACAGGCTCAGCGGCCATGGCTCACGGGCCCAGCCGCTCCGCGGCATGTGGGATCTTCCAGGACCAGGTTACAAACCCGAGTCCCCTGCATCGGCAGGCGGACTCTTAACCACTGCGCCACCAGGGAAGCCCTGCATGTGTCTTTTTGAATTATGGTTTTCTCTGGGTATATGCCCAGGAGTGGGATTGCTGGATCATATGGTAATTCTATTTTTTGTTTTTTGAGGAACCTCCATACTGTTATCCATAGTGGCTGTATCAGTTTACATTGCCACCGGCAGTGTAAGAGGGTTCCCTTTTCTCCACATCCTCTCCAGTATTTGTTGTTTGTAGATTTTCTGATGATGGCCATTCTAACTGGTGTGAGGTGATACCTCATTGTAGTTTGATTTGCATTTCTGTAACAATTAGTTATGTTGAGCAGCTTTTCATGTGCTTCTTGGTCATCTGTATGTCTTCTTTGGAGAAATGTCTATTTAGGTCTTCTGCCCGTTTGTGGATTGGGTTGTTTGTTTTTTTAATATTGACCTGCATGAGCTGTTTATATAATTTGGAGGTTAATCCTTAGTCTGATGATTCATTTGCAAATATTTTCTCCCATTCTGAGGGTTGTCTTTTCGTCTTGTTTATGGTTTCCTTTGCTGTGCAAAAGCTTTCAAGTTTCATTAGGTCCCATTTGTTTATTTTTGTTTTTATTTCCATTACTCTGGGAGGTGGATCAAAATAGATCTTGCTGTCATTTATGTCAAAGAGTGTTCTTCCTATGTTTTCCTCTAAGAGTTTTATAGTGCCGGCTTTACATTTAGGTCTCTAACCAATTTTGAGTGTATTTTTGTGTATGGTGTTAGGGAGTGTTCTAATTTCATTCTTTTACATGTAGCTGTCCAGTTTTCCCAGCACAACTTGTTGAAGAGACTGTCTTTTCTCCATTGTATATCCTTGCCTCCTTTGTCATAGATTAGTTGACCATATGTGTGTGGGTTTATCTCTGGGCTTTCTGTCTTGTTCCATTGATCTATGTTTCTGTTTTTGTGCCAGTACCATATTGTCTTGATTACTGTAGCTTTGTAGTATAGTCTGACATCAGGGAGTGTGATTTCTCCAGCTGCATTTTTTTTCCCTCAAGACTGCTTTGGCCATTCGGGGTCTTTTGTGTCTCCATGCCAATTTTAAGATTTTTTTGTTCTAGTTCTGTAAAAAAATGCCATTGGTAATTTGATAGGGATTGAATTGAATCTGTAGATTGTATTGGGTAGTATAGTCATTTTCACAATATTAATTCTTCCAATCCAAGAACATGGTATATCTCTCCATCTGTTGGCATCATCTTTAATTTCTTTCATCAGTGTCTTATAGTTTTCTGCATTCTGGTCTTTTGTCTCCCTAGGTGGGTTTATTCCTAGGTATTTTATTCTTTTTGTTGCAGTGGTAAATGGGAGTGTTTTCTTAATTTCTCTTTCAGATTTTTCATCATTAGTGTATAGGAATGCAAGAGATTTCTGTGT